TAATTTGATCTATGTACAAGTTTTTCTTCTCCATTTGTACAAAATCCTTATGTGATAGAAAAAAATGAATATTATTTTGAAATTATAAAAAAATCTGTTATTAAACCAAAACAACTTTTTTAAGTTTAAATTCACACACCTGTGTTATTAAATGGTGTGATTTATTTCTAATTGGATTATTTATGGGGGAGGTGAGGGGTATCAGTAATGTTTATGTAAAAGAATTAATTTCTTAAGATAAAGGTTGAACATTTATGAATGTTTTGACATCTATACTGAGTAATATATATATATGTATATAGACAGGTGTATAATTAGGGTGAAGTTAAACATTTCTACACTAGGCTGACATCAAATCTTAAGATGTCTTTAAATTCATTACATATTTCTTAAAATAATATCTAAAACAATTACAAAGAAAATATCATACCTTTGTTTGAAATTTTTCACTACTGACTTAACATTCACATAATTTCTTATAACATGTAATTGTGAAATATGTTTTAGTCAATTGCTTTCCTACAGATGCTCCTCAACACTATTCTAAATATACACTGTATACATTGATCAAATGAGACATAATATAAAAGTTTGTCAATGTGATAGTTTTAAGTAATTAATATACACACTTAAACAATGAGTTATTTTGGTAACAGTTACTTTCTAACTATTGTCTCTTAAAAACAGATAAGCTAGTCATTGGGTGTGCACATATTATCCTTTACTTGGTACACAATTCTGTTCATTGATAAAACAAAAGAAATGGATGTTTACATTACTGTGTATACTTTGAAATGATCAAAAGTTTTTTCTTAACCTTGAAATGGATCAATTAACATGTAGTAGAAGCATGAGCTTTTCTCTGGCTAGAATATAGAGGGAACTTTTTTTTTCATAAACATTAACAACTTATGAGTAACTCATATGCTACTATCTGCATCTTTTAGTTCCAGTGGATCAAATAACTTCATCAGTCATGGCAAAAATGACAGATCTAACTATCATTTATATCATTCAAAAGCTGTACTTTTACACTGCTTTATAGATTAAAATGAATCAACAGATTGTCAAAATCATTACATTTGTATACTAGCTTACCCTGAGGCAGTCTGTAAGCTAATCTAATTTATACATAAATCATTGTTATGAAGCAATAACCTTCAGTAAATGTAAAGGGACAGACTTTACAGTGAACATACCTTAAAGCAGTAAGTGTGGTAACCTTTGTCACATCCGTCACACAAAAGCAACATCTCTTCATTAGCTCCACTGTGACAAAACTGGCAGCTCTAAAAAATATAATAAATAAATTAAAACTAAGATCCTAACCAAAATTCCACAAGTTTAAAGATTGTATTCTCTACAAAATGTGAACAGAAACATTTAATGCTCAATATTTAAAAGATTTTCAATTATGTTTAAAAACAAATTAATTTCTTCAAAAATTTAGTACATTTACAAGGCTCACAAACTAATCTACATCCACTCATAAGCTGATAATATGAAGGCAAACTTCTGATAAGATTTAAAAGTTATTTAACTAGTTCATAACACAGACCGAGTTTTTAAAGCTTTCAACTGTATGCTGCATTCTAGTTGTATCTTACACAGAATGTTCTACAGACATATTTCCTTACCTTCTCTAAACAGACTTCTCTTTTTAACAAAATGACATGAACTATAAACATGAAACACAAAAGATACAATATATTTTATGTTTTTTTGACATACATTACTTTCAAATTCTGACAGGACTGCAACAGACTGTTTCAGTACATAGAGCAAAATGCTCTGACTTTTTACAAACATTCTTTTCCATGACAAAACTTACAGCTCTCATTATAGATTTATCCCATGCCACGCACATTTCTAGCATGTTTAAACACATGGCCAACTGGTCTGCTGTCCAACACTTCTGGATTGCAGCTCGCCAGCGAAGTAAGCCCCTTGGTAAGTCCTCTTCCTCGCCGTCTGCCACCAAAGGAGGTTGAGTAGCACTGCTGTTGAATGAGGACAAGTTCAGCTCTGTACTGCTGACATAAGAACACATTAGTGTTACTTTGCAGTAGATGTGTTCAGTCAGCTTAACTGAGTGCAAGAAACATTTCCCTGTTAAAGCTAACACACTAACAAAGACCTATCAAAATAAGCTAGTTGAAACTTTTAATATCACTGAGGTATTGATAATGGAAACTATGTTGGTGTTGTTGTCAAGATGCATGGTCATCACACAGAGCATGACTGGACATGGTAACATGAGAATTAATGATGTGATAAGGCTCCAAAAGTATTTTCATATAATATACTCAGCTTCTATATTCTCATAAAACTGCATCTTTAATCTTTGATTATTGCATAAATAACTGCTTTGTCTAGATCTACTTATATTAAAAATTGTTGTGTAACTTGTGACATAAAATTAAATGCTTTAAGTTAACAAACAAGTTTCATAATTACAATTGTTTTTTGTCTAAATCACTTGTTAGGAGCAAACATGTATGCATGTGTTATTTGAAATGGTATTGGAATTAAGGATTCTGAAAAATGGTTACAGTCTTGCATCAAAAATATTTGGGTATTTCCATTTATTATGAGTATTTTGATATTTTATTTGTCATTCAATTGCAGCCATTGTTTGTTAGAAGGAAGATTAATATTATTTTATAAATGTCTTAATAATGATATCACCAGTAAAAACATAATTGAATTTTAAAATTTTATTGTTTCTATTTTTAATTTACATAAAAATTAAACTCTGTAATACATATATATGTTTGTATTAACTGTATATGATATTTTGTGTGCTATAAAAATTTATATTAAAATACTAAAGGCAACAAGTGTGTTTCAACTTACGTGATACCAAGAGGCGGCCTTATATACCGTCTTTCAATGGCACTTTCAAGTAATAAAAGTCTTTCTTTAGCAATCTCTACTGGATTTACATATTGATCTTCTGGCTGATTGTCATGTTTATTAGTTGAATTATTTTCACTTTCTTCTGTATTACTAGCATGATCACCTTCTTCCCCGGTGTTCACATTCATGATGGTATTTCCATCTAATGTACTAATACTGCTTTCCACTTTTTCTGTTTGTAAATTCTCATTAATTTCCATAGGAATAGATTCCGTTTCTTTACTTTGGTGTTTAATTGCTTTCTTTCGATGGAAGCTTAATACAACTCCTTCTTTTTTTGGCATTAGGCAAGCTGCTTTGAACTTGATAGTTGGGTCATCAGTGAGCTTCGGAGGAACCTTCCAACCCTAATGAATAATACCATGAAACTTAACAATATCTAAGTTATTTAGCAGTTGTAGATTCATTTATATGCACTAAGAAAAGATACTAAAATATACAGATACAATTAAAATAGCAATTCTGACAATAAGAATGAAATTATGATTTTTTTTGCTTGCTATTGGCAAACTAAAAACAAAGACAATATATATAGTCATTATTACATGATAGGCACTATTTTTACCATCCCAGTCATTATTACTTGATAACACTATTTACCACCCTAGTCATTATAATTTGGTAAAGTCAGTCTAAATTTTCTCACAACAGCTTAAATTAATGACTGGTCAGCTAAAATATTTTACAAAGACATAGATAGGTACAAGAAAAAATGCTAATTAGATTAGAACTCAAATTTACTAATCAACTACAGTTATTAAGTTAAGCAACAATGATAAACCAAAGAGAAATAAATATAAAAGTCAATTACATAATTCATTATACTATACTATTATTGTTGTAAGATACTTAAGACAAAAGCCATGGCACTGTAAGTCAGTATAATCTAAAATTTGTAGAATATTTACATAATTATTCAATTTGTAAGCCTACAAATATGTATCAACATATTCAGAATTATCTTAGAAATGTTATTGCATTTAGAATGCAAATTAATATATAATGGCAAAATAAAAAGGAAGTTTAATTAGGCCAGCCCCAAAGAGCGAGAAGAATTAGGATTTCTTTAATCTTTTGATAACAATAATTAATATAAACTATATACACATTTTCAAGAGCCAAAGATTTTACTATACGAACACTAGACAATAATATAAAAGTTTAAATACTCTGCTGCACCAGAGAAACATGATGCTCAAAATTCTGTTATCTACTCAAATCTCACAATTTTATTTTACTTTTTACTAAATTTTCTGCCTTAGCTCATGTAACATACAAAGCATGTAAAATGTCAGTTTCAATGGTAGAGAAATGCAAATTTCTTATGTTTATTTTCAAATACAATATGATTTATCAGCATGAATACTAAGATTGATAACATAATGACTATTACAAAATGCACTTTAAAAGGGCATAGAATATTTCAAGATGAACAAATAATTGTGCTTTAATCCCTTCTTACACTACTGAGTAGATACAATTATGCAAAACTTTCCAATAAAGAAATATATATCACATAATAAAATACTTGAAATCAACATAAAGAAGATACTGGGTTATTTTCAATGTTATATAACTGATAGCTTTATAAATTTTATGATTAATATTTTACACTTGTCAAGCTAGATTTCATACATCTCTATACATTTATACAGACATATTCTTAAGTCAAGATCTGATATTATTAGATATAATCTTCTACTAGTTTTTGTTTCCAGTACCATACTGAAGTATATTTTCTCTCACTCTTCCACTAATACAAATATTTTCAAACTGACTAGCTCTTAAATATATAGTAAAAGTATGCCATCACCAATGATTAAAAGTACAGTGATAAAAAGCCTGATATGATACATTTGAGTAAAGTTATAATTTTCCTATACTGAAAATGTATTTCCGATAAGTATTTCCCTCCACTCACAAGATTAGCTTTTCCTGTTTTGTGCTGCCCTCTATATGTGAACACTTTTTTTAATAACATATGCCACAAGCCTTCTGCACCCACCTATTGGAATCAAAGATTCCGACATGTCTCTCATGCAAATCATCATGTGTCATCTCTCCACCAATAGGAGAGCACTATTATCACATGACACATGTGACTCCCTTTATGCGCCACTACTGAACCATCACTTCAAACTTTGGCAGATGACATAAGCACTGGAAGATTGTGGAAAGTACCTATCTGAAATACATTTTTAGTATAGGAAAATAATAATTTCTGATACGGTACTTCCCTCCACTCATATGATTAGCTAGAATCCCACATTGAAAAAGGAGGAGGGACCGGTGTGAGGGAAGAACAGATGTACTCCCTGAAAGCATCCAAAAGGATACTTCTGTAGATGAGAGAAATAGATCAGATAATCTGAGGAGGGGCACAGTATCACTTCTGAACCAGGTATCTCTTTGCCATGAACAGCTAGGAACAAACATGGTGGAAAAAGAAGGGAGCACATCTGAGTGTGAGAGGATATGTCAGGAAAGTGATCCCAACCAGATAAGTATAGAAACTCAATCTCACAGAAGTCAAGTGGGTAATGGAGGATGCATCCCATGGTGTAGAGTGGCTAGGGCACGGAGGACCGTACTCGATAAGTCAACTACACCCAAAGCTTCCTCGCTGGGTACCAACATCCACGCGAGGGTAGGATGAGGATCATCTCGGCTTCACTTCAAACCCGAAAATCGTGGATGTGAGGAAAATACTGACTCCAGGGCACAACAAAGAATTAGCATTGAGGATCGTCTTTCCTGACCCAACCAAGGTTTACCCGATGGAGTGGTCCCTTCATCCCCTTGTTTCTGTTTCTGTCCTGGGCAATCCCTCCTTCTCTCTTGCAGTGGGGATGTTACTGACCTTTGGATGTTTTGGACCAATCTCACGGTCACGGGAGTTGATTGCATGTAATGGACTTCCCTCAGATACCGGATGACACATTCCCAGAACCATGATGAAAGCATCTGGTATGTGACACACCATCAAATGATAGCGATGATCGTGGGTCCAAAAGAGAAGATCCAATGTTAGAAAACACTGGGATCTCAACTGGGTGCCACCTATGTGATTGATATGAGCCACCACTGTTAAATTGTCGGAATGGATCATGTCCAGACGACCTCTGGAGATGGAAAGAAAGTGATCCAAAGCCCAATAAACAGCAAGGAGTTTGAGGATGTTGCTATGAAGAGAACGTTCCCTGACAGACCAATGCACTCCAGCTCTGAAGGGTTGAAAATCTGGCCACAGAGGAGGAAGCAGGACACCCGCTGATGTATGAGCCTTGACCAACCACTATTGGAGCTTGTCCACAATGTAAGAAGGAAGGGTTATAGGAGTATCCAATTGATCCCGAGCAAGGTTTCTTTGGTCATAGAGACCCATTGAAGGGATTGCATATGAGTTCAGCCAAGGGGTATGGAAGGAGTCATAGAAGATCACAACCCCCAAAATGATAGAACCTCGCAAGCAGAAAGTGAAGAAGCAGACAGGGTGTTTGAATGGCCAGTTCCCTAGAACAAAGCCGGAGAGGAGAAGGTGGGGCCCGACTAGATGGATGTTCAAGAAACCACCCAGATGGACAAGGTACTGAGTAGGATGAAGGAATGACTTCTACAATTTGATCAACCAGCCCACTCGAGCAGCTTCGAGAAGGAGCTGACAAGTATTATATTCCAATTCAGAATGAGTGACAAGAAGCCAGCTGTCCACGTAAAAGTGAAACATAACCCTAGAGCATGAAGATATTGAGTAAAGGTTTGCACCACCCGACAGAAAATGTATGGCACCAAAGCTACCCCAAAGGGTAGAAGCAAAATTGGTATACCACCCCGCGATGGACAAACCAAAGATAAGAACAAGAATGCTCTGATATGGGAAAATGCAGATAAGCATTGGAAACGTCCATCTTGTTCATCCAAAGACCCGGATAAAAAGCCCACCAAAGAGTAAGGTGGGATTCCATGGTGAAGTGTGGGGTGTGAACATATCTATTAAGATGGGAAATGTCAATGACTGGTCTCCATAGAAGGAGTCACGTGTCATGCGATAGTAGTGCTCTCCTATTGGTGGAGAGATGCATGTTGGAGTCTTTGATTCCAATGGGGGTGGGGTGCTGAAGGCTTGTGGCATGCGTGATAAAAAACGTTTGTATATAGAGGGCAGCACAAAACAGAATGAGCTAATTTTTTTTAGGGGACAGAAGTGTTGTATCAGAAGTAGTTTCAGTTATGATCTAATCATGTTCTGATTAATGTTTTATGTGTATTTATTTGTTAATCTCAAATAAAAGTTTCTTTTTCGTTCTAAGGTATAAAATGCTGAAAATTTTTTGTGATGCCTGATGAAAATTTTACACTGTTAAGGATAGGTATTGCATTATTTTCCTAATTCATGTGCAGGTATGAGTCATAATAACTGTTTCTGAAGTAGTTAATAAAAATAAGAAGCAGCAGAATAATTTTTATAAAGTTATGACAGTGATTGCTAATGCTTTACTCCCAAGAAATGATTATGTTTTATGAAAGTTATAAGCTAAAAAGACAGAATGGTTGTTGTAATTCTGGAGGTTACACTACTTTATCTATCCTGTTTAATATCTCACCTTAACTTGCATACTAGCTCCTGCTACTTTTTCTTCCATTACTTCTATCTGTTCTAAAATTCCTAAGTCCATACGTAATGCTACTTCTGGTGACCAATCATCTTCTTTATTCCTATCTGGAGCACCTCCTTCTTTCTCAGAAATTTCTCTGTCTAGTTCTGTGATTTCAAGATCTGTAGCTAGATATATGTATAATGTTAACTACCTTTTGTCTTTAAATCTCAGTGAAAGGATATTATATAATAAAAAGCTAAAATGTTTGACTTTTTATTACTTAGTGACTCTCATATGTCCCCAATGAACAAGAAAAAGTCTTTAATGATAAAGGTCATAAAATGGCCAAAACTGATTTTTTGTAATAAAATGACTCAGACCATGTAGAGTCTATTTTGAAGTATTTCTTATTTATTAAGCATGATGTTAGGAAAACACTTAGGGTCAAAATATCAATTAAAGACAAAAAAATACAAAACCCTATAACCCAAGTGCTTTTGAAAAATGGACCTTTCTTCATCGGGGCAAATTATCATTTATCAGTAAATCTGAAAAAAAAATTATACTACTGACAATCTTCAACTATGCTGCTGAATGATCTTTTACTACTGCAGAAAATAAACTTTGTAACAAATGTATGTGAAGTTACAGTATTAACTGATACATTAAATACAAAATATGCACAGAAATATCATTTGTAAATGTTGTTTACTAGCAAATGACAACTATAATGTTTACTTGACTTCACCAAAAGAAGATTTGTTACTGGCAATTTACATGTATAACCAAAACAAGTTTTATACAGAACCTATATGAAAACATTAAAAATATTTGTTGTGAATGTTAAATAGGAGAACATAAGAACAGATAAAAGTAAAAAAATACTCAAGATCTTTAAACTATTTGAATGTAAATCAACATTTCAAGTATAACAACGTAAGTAGTATATCTGTCAGTTCTATGCACTCTGAACATTCTGCTAGATGTAAATGTTGCAGGCCTTTAATACGTTATTTTACATTCTTATATCAAACTTAAGAACTAACTTAATAATGGTTGTGCAAAATGAGCTGGGAAAATTAAACATTAACGTAAATTCCTTGTTTGATATTACACACTGGCCAATTTCACTATATGAAATAGTTTAATATTTTAGATGCTTGGTAGCATTATTTTCATCACTCCAATCATTATTACTTGATAACACAATTTTTACCACCCTAGTCATTATTACATGATAGGCACTATTTTTACCATCCCAGTCATTTTACTTGATAATACTATTGACCACCCCAGTCATTACTACATAACACTGTTTTTACCACCCCAGTCATTATTATTTGATAACACAATTTTTACCACACCAGTCATTATTATTTTATAACACTATATTTACCACTCCAATCATTATTACAACAAATACTTCTTTATGGAAGCAGAATAGAAGTGCCAATAATTTGAATTATGATATGAACACAACAACTGCAACCATATTATAAGATCTAAAAAAGATAAAATAGTTGCACTACACTAAGCGCTATCTTGAAATTATATATTACGTACTTTCATGATGACCCTGAGTACAAGCTTGACATGCATAATTGAAGTATTTTTGGAACTGCCTCTGTAGAAGCCTTTCTCTTATACCTCTTGGATGAAGAGCATTTAGTAAGGTTTTCAATTGTTCTGAGTCAGTAATCCTCCACCAACCTTTTCGATACTCTACTTTAAAAAAAAAGAAGAAAAAATATTATATAATAGTACATGACTATTTACAATACTAAATCAAAGCAAGTGCTTGAAAGGTGAAAGTACTGGAAGAAGGAGATATCCATATTTTAGTGCAGAATATAGTCTTCAAAACTACTTTTGAGGAAATGCCGTATTTCGTTTTTAACCATCATAGAAGTGATCTGCAAATAAACTTCCTGCTAGATGAATTAGGTACCAAGTAGGATTCACCTGGGAAATGTGGAAAAGTTAAAGTATCATTTCACTTAATTCACAATCAATACCATGCACTGCATATCCTACATAGAATGTTTTTGTGGACAAGAGGATTTCCAGCCAAAACATACATCTTTAGAAATAAAATTAGGTCTACTTGAGTTAAAATTTAGAAATATTTAAGGATATTTTAAAAACATATTATGAAGAATCAGGTCAAACATTCAGTTTAATATGATGACTGATAGTATTAATAAAGAAATTTTGAATATAAAGTGTTTGTTAGTAAAAACTAAGAATATTAAAATAAACTTCCTTATCTGACAAGAACAGATATGATACTATCTGTTTAGTGTTTGGATGTGTAAATGCTGATAATAATGTCTTAATCTTCTACCTTGTGGGTTTTCAGAAATCTTTCTATAAAAATCATTTACCATAACTAAATGAACAACTGTTCAATCCATATTAATGAAACCACCAGCTATATACGGAAGGCCAAAGGAGATATCATCATAATATTAACATTCCAAGATGACTCGAAAGAGAGTAATTTTTCTAATTTTATGGCTTTATACAAAATAGGATTTTTTTTAGGGAATACTTATAAAATCAGGAATTTTAAGATTGTTGTAAAAAAGTGGGATAATAAAAAAAAAGAGCTAGAAACTGAAAAATAACTTAAGCAACATGATGGTAAGCTTTATACATAATTATATTGATTATCCACTGGCATGCCTTCAATATTTAATCATCCTAAGCTGTGACAAGACTAGATACCTCCGGAGACAAGACAAATATGTCAGTTTCAGATTAGTTCCCATAGAAACCAAAATACATGGAAATAAAACTAGAAGTTGGATCCACCAATTCTATATTAGTGCAGTCCAAAGCTAAGAGAAATATAGAGCAATAACATTAAAAGAGGACATGAGAGTTTACATTAATCATACAATTACAATCTGTTGTTTTACGAACTGAAGAATCCAAAAAGCAAAGACTACAACAAGAGCCCACCTGTGCAAAAACAAATACAGCAAATCTTTCCCCCATCATTATAGGAATTCATGAGTTTGTTTTATACAAATATCATAGAGACGTCCAAAATCTTAATCTCCCTCTATCTGCTCCTTGGAGAACTGATGAAAGGACTGGATCAAGCAAAAACCTCTACTTCTAGTGTAAGTGTGAAGTAGCTTGAAGCAAGTCACCACTTGTAAATGATCTGTTCTGTTGTTAATAACTTAAGCCTACTGTTTAATGGCTTTTTGGCCAATTTCAACATTTGTTGTTAAAAGAAACTCATTATATAGGTATTTGAAAACACATATTCAAAGTAAAATACAAGTACATTCTGATAACATTCCACAGTTACAAAATGGAAGACAATATAGAATAACACACTGTAGTTAATAACATGGGACAGGACTACCAGACACATAACAAATTTAAAGTTATTTAGAATACAATGAAATGGTAATGTACATGAAAATGAAGTTTTTCATTTTTCAGCACAATACTAAATACTAAAATACACATAAATGTTTATGCACTTAAATATAGTTTATAATCAACATTTGAATTCAACACCTGTGAGATACAATACACACTATTGTATTCTTAAAACCTAGTATAAAACATAAAATGAAAAACACTATTAAATTTCAGTAAACAAAAATGTTACATCATGAATATAATTTTACTTTTGGGTAAAAACAATTTGAAACGTTTGTTTGCACAAATACAGCAATGGCCTTCAGTTACCATTTTTTTTTAGTCAAGATTTCTTTAATTAAATTATACTAGATATGAAGATATTAGTAATAATTTTTACACTAAGAATTACATTATGCTAATATGTTAAACATTACTAAAAAAACAGCAATATTCAATTTTTTTTTTATTACCTGGAGGCAGTGGGGAAGGTTTGGCATAATGGTTCACAGATTCTGTCAGTACTTTCTGCTGAACTCCTGAAGTTTCCTCTATAGAGTTGTTGACTTTAGAATAAAACCCGTATTGCATGGAGCTAGGAGTGGAGCTTGGGGATGGGGCTGTAGTAGGGGTAGAACAGAATGATGGAGGGTTTACAGGTTGGGAAACTGTGGATATTGGCGTAGAAGTTAATTGAGATGATCCTGCTGTGGTGGATGTTGGTGTACTGTGGTAAAGTGAATTCGAAACAGGAGGACTGAGAAGTGGATTAGGTAATAGAGGAGGTGGGAGTCCATTTGACAGCCCCAGTTGGAGGTTAGCAAAAGGTAAGGCTGCAGCAGGATAACTTTGACCATTGCTGGAGATAATGGGCGTGGATAGGTTCTGAGAAGATGATTCCTGTATAGTTCCAAGAGTTGAAGTTGTTTTTGTAGTTAAATGAGAATTAATTGAAGCACTTAAAGGCTTCTGAGGAGAATTGTTGGAAGATTTTAATGATGCTAGTTTACATTGTGCTTCTTGAGAAAAAGTATTATCACAAGGCATTCTAGGAAGAACACTAAACCAAGGTTTCTGATTTGGTTGCTTCTCTGCTAGGTTTTTGAGAACTTGCTCTGCTGACAGAAACCCAGGGGATAGTCCTAATAATGGATTAAATGATGAACTAGAAACAGCTGTGTCAGTTTTAGGTAAGTTAAAGTAGCTGCCATTCAACTCCCTACCATGTAACAAAGGTCCATTCATAAGCATTGAGCCTGCAAGGAGTGATGCAAAAAATGGAGAGTGAAGTAACCAATTTTGTTCAATATTAAGAACACCACTTGATGAAGTTTTAGGAATAGCAAGTTTGTTAGCTGTGCTAGAATTTAACACAGTTTCATCACTTTGTGTCTTCTTTGTCTCTAGCAAAACAGCCTCTTGGGAACTTTTCAGTTGTTTGGATGAAGTTTTGTCATCACTTGGAGTGCCTCCATGTTTAGAAACCCCTTGAACTTCTGGATTAGAAACTACATTTGTAACAGACTTATCTTCTCTTGATCTTTTGTCAATGTTATTTACTTTATCATTCATATCATCTTCATTAACAATATTCATAGGTTTATCTTCTTCAAATTTTAAATGCTCAGTTTTTTGTTTCTTTTCATTTTCAGGTATTTTGTCTGACATGCTTTCTTTTTCAAAGCTCTCTTCAGCTTTACTCTTTTCTTCTGGATGATTTATATGCATATCTACTTCCATGGATTCCAACTTCACAGGTGTCACAAGGTTTTCTACTTTATTTTTTACTTCCAATTTTGATGGTGTATCTTGAAGTTCATCTTTATCAATTACTTTGTTTTTACAGTCTACTCTTTCTGGATCTGTCTCATTTTGTTCTACTAGTATTCCACCCTGTTCTTCAAACTGCTCATTTTCCAGTTCTGCTGACTCCATCCCTTCAACAAAAATACCACCAGATAATGGAAGAACCCAGTAATGACGATGATACCGATCCTGTCCAAAACTTGTAGCTCTAAGAGATTGAAGTGCTTTAGATAGTTTGCTGTGAATCTGTGTTTGTTGCTAGAAACAAGAAAATTGTGAAATTATATAATCAAGTTGGGGAAAGAGTGTAAAAAATAAATAAATAAAGCTATATCAAAACTGAGCAACACTTTATAAATATCCACTGTCAGTTTTCACTAAAAAAATTTGTATTAGCACTAGTTGTCATATTGTTATAATGCAATATATCTGAGTTTATTGTAATGAAAGTTTACATTAATTTATAATATTTAACATAAAAGAATAAAATTTATGAGCAGAATATTTTAATAATTCAAGGCTGTTTCAATTTTTTTTAAATTGCATTGGAATGTGTCCAAAATCTAAAAGAAATACCTAAATTATGAACATAACAGGAAGACTAAAAGTTTTTAATTAACTAAAGTTAGAAGGTGAATGTGAATATCTAAAAATCTCAAGTTGGCTGTCTAAAGCCTATTTTATTCTCTGTAAAGACATTTTTTATGTCTAAATACAGATAAACATAAATGTTTAAAAGGAATAGTTAATCATTAAAAAATTCAAGAATGCAGAAGAATAATATTTTGTGATTAACTTCTATTTTATTACTATTTCTTTAATAAGAACTACTAAACTTTATATTACCACATTAAAACTTCATAACTGATCTCTTTTACTTGTTTAAAAACAATATTCTTTAAAATAAATCTCACTTGTTTTTGACAAAGGTACTTTTAAGATCCAACTTTAGAAAACTGTGCAAC